GGGGGCCTGGGGCTCCGGCTGGTGCCTGCCTACAGCACTTCAGCAGCTGGACATGCGGGGCGGGTGAGGCCTGGTTTCCTGCCACTGGGTCCAGGCCACAGCGGAACAAGGCCTGCTGCCCTCGTGCCTGTGCACCTGCCCCACTAGGAAGTATCGCCAGGGACCTGTTTGTAACAGGAGGTTACGGCAGCTGGACCGCATCTGTGCAGAAAGCACCCTCGTGTGCACGCGGGCTGAGTCTGCACTGCTCCTGGCGAGACGCACGTGTGCACAGACAGTCGCCGGGCAGCCCAGGTCTCCTCACGTTCTTTATTTACACAGTGAAATGTCAGGAAGTACATGTGAATGAGTCCACAGTCAATAAAGTACATGTCTACTAGGAAGTACACGTGGGGTCTGCCATTCTGTGCTTACATGGACTTGGCTTGCTCGTATAGATGTGCAGGCCATGTGGCCTTACTGCTCTGCATGCCCTCCTGCGGCCTAGCCATGACCTCGGCAGCACTTGGCTCTGGGATGCGCCCCTCTGTACAGAGGCCTTGGCTTCGAAGCACCCTGGGTAATAAACTACGTCCTAGGTCTGGGAAGCACATTTCAGGACACGAGTGGAGATGGCCATGATCATCATGCTAATTCGCAACAGATCTTGCACTACTTGTTTATTTCTGACCTACCCACACACAGGGAAATGACACGTCCACCAGAAACAACACACTCAACTGACATGGAAGAGAATGTTTGCAAGTAGCTTTCTTCTATTTAATTGTCTTACACACGTATTTATCTAACTGGCAATTTTGTAAACATTTACTTTAATGTGAAGATTCAAAGGGAAATGTAATTTTCTTACAAAGATTGTGAATTAAAACACCGTTAGCTGTATCTGCTAGGTGCCACGCCAGCCCCCCTGCCTGCCTCTTCTGCCTGCTTCTTACACCAAGGGAGTTCTGTTTTACAAAAGAAAAATCAATGTAGCCTGACTCACCCACCAATTACATGTTCACTTTTCCCACCCAGCTAACTTTTTTAAAAAAACTTACTAACAGAGCTGTTGGTGCAAATTTATTTGTAATATAAGTGAACAAAAGGGCCAGTTGGTCTCCTGCCTAGTCAACACATCAGCAAGGAGATGACCACTTAAGGGTCACACCTCAGGGCCCAGGCTCATCCCTTCCCAAGCTCCCTCCCTCTGGTGCTCTGCCAGTCTGTATGTGCTGGGTTCACTCCAGCATGTCCCCTGACCCCTCAGGATGTCAGAGCCAGAGGGACAAAGAGATGGTCTGGGGTGTAGCAGTAAACCCCCGCCAAGCACGCCCCATCACGGGGCTCTCCCACACTTAGGAGTCGGCACCGGGAAGAGGGCGGACCTGCTACCTCGTGTTCGCCGTCCCTTGTTCTCGGTACCACTCGCTACAGTGCGTCCTGGCAGTCAGCACTCACCGGCTGATGACAGGGAAGAAATGTGCACTTGAGCTTGCTCTGAGCAAAGCAAGAGATCACTTTAGATATGGCTGTGGAAGACGGTTTGCAGACAGCAAGGCGGTTTACAAAAATCAATTCCTAAAATGCATGATTTATCTGAAGTCCGAACCCCTGGCATATCCAGTGTCTATTTATTTTTGACAGCATCCAATAAATCCCAGTAAAGGAGCTAAATTACGATCCCTTCACGAGAGTGAACAGTACTCTTTAAGCAACGCTGATATGCACTTGATTCTACGCCCGTGGGTGGTTGGCAGCAAGTTTTATTTGCAAAGCAGCATTAGCAAACAGAAGCGATTGCACCGTAAATGAGTAACCTCTAAATTATCGGTAATTATATTTAATGAAATGTCCCTCAAAGTCCCTTTGTTACCTTCAAGTGACACATGTAAGGAACTTGCCCATCCCGCTAAGCTGATTTCTCAGCCGCTTCGGTCTCCTGCTCGGAGAGCTTCTCTTCCGACAGCACTGACATCCAGGGCGACACCGAACGGGTGATGCTCTGCTTGGCCAGGTTGTAGTGGTTTATGACTGTGTAAAGTCTCTCCCGGGCGCTGGAGTCTTGCTCCGCGTAGTAGCTCTCCAAGCCCTCTGGGATGCACTGCGTGTTCTGAAAGACAAGAGGCCACTAAAACCATGCACCGGCATAGGAGGGGTGCCAGGGGGTGTGTCTCCGTTTGACACCCGACAGATGGGTGCTGAGCACCTTCCCTGCACTTGGAGTAAACACCGTGATGAACAGAAGTGGGCGTGGAGACTGCCTCGGAGCCCACAGCCAAGTGGAAGGTTGGCATCGACGAAATCAGAACAGGACAGGTGCGTACCAAGTGCTGTGACAGACTGGCACTTGGGCTCCAAGGGGGAGTAACAGGATGACAGGCCTTACTTCACTAGAGGCCTCGCACTAGTTGCCAGTTATGTCACCTACCAGAAAACAGCAACGCTTCTGGCATGTCCAGAAACACCAGTTCAAATAAGGGATGAAGGGAAGGCTCGCCTGGTGCTGGGTTCTTGGTGGGCCGTACCCAGGTAAGTGGAGAGGAGAGGCCTTGGGCAGGAAGAGTGGGAAATGAAGGCAAAGGAAGAAAGGCCAGTGGCTAGAACCAAGAGAATGGGAGGAGCGAGGAAAGGGCAAGGGTCAGAAGGGCCAGGCCTCACGTATCCCGGAAGGTCCTGAAAGGGGTAGAGGGGTAGACCTTGTGACCCAAAGAGCTGAGGAGTCTTGAGGTGAGCGGGGGGACTATGCCGGTTAGTCTGTGCAGGCCTAGAGTGGATTTCAGATGACTGGGAATCTCTAAGATGGATGTGAAATTCTGTTGTGTGGGTGTTTGGAGGGAGACGTGTCCGTGGCTATCTTCAGCCTGCCAGGAGTCTAGGGCTGAAACAGCTGGCTGCTCCCCCGGGCGGGAGGTGGCCCGCCCGAGGGCGGGGGGCCCCCCGCCCCTGGCCGGTCACGCTAGGCTGGTGGAGCAGCAGCTGGGCTCCTGGCTGTAGCGCCTCACTCCACTCCCACCAGGAAGGTGAGCAGAGTCCTCATGGTCCTCCCCCACCCGCCTTCCCTGGAGTAGCGAGGCCGGCACTTCAGCCAGGCAGGGCAGTGAGACTCATCTGGGTCTGCATCCTGCTGTGCCACTGCTCCCCTGGAGGACCAAGCCCTGGGCCAGCAGGGCAGCGAGAGACAGGAAACTGGGCCTCACACGGCCATCCAGCCTGGGCCCATCTGCTTCGTCCTTGAGAGCAAGGAGGAGGGCCGGGGACCCTGCCCACACTCGTGCCTCCCCCGATGCCCTCGTCGTACCCGTTTGCAGTGCTTCTCGGGCAGCTCGTCACTGTGACGTGAGTTCTGTTTATCTCGTTTCATAGGTACAGTAGCTCTCCAGGGTCACCAGTGTGAGTACAGGAGCCACCCAGCAGCCTGGGCCTCCGCTCATTGCCAGCCACCCCTCAAAGGTGCTGAGCCACAGTTGAGAAGAGTGAGAAACGGAGACCTTGCAATGTGTCCCACCCGGGATGGTGGGCCAGGACCAACCACTGGTGGCTCGGCCGCCATTCATGCAGTGCCCACGTCACCCACGGCCTGAGGAGGGGACCCCGGCTTGTCTTGGCACCACCACTCGCAGGTTTCGCACCACGCATGGCTGCTCCCTTCGGTACCCTCTGAGACAGAGGTGACGGTGCTCGTGGGACAGCGGGGCACTGGCTCGGGGCCTAGACCTGCCCAGCACCTGGAACCACACGATGGCTCTGATCCAGCCAGGGACCACCTGGGGCTCCAGGCTCTAACATCGCCCTCTGAAATCAGAGGCCTCTCTGATGAGTTCCCAGGTCCTCGCCACCGGGACTGGGAGGATGGCGGGTAGTGAGGACGAGACACAGCATGCAGGGTCCCACAGAGGGTCACAGACACAGTCCTGGCAGTGCATCCACTCCCCGTCCCTGCCAGCCGGGCCCTGCGGCTCGGCCGTGCCATGGCCGTCTCCCCTGTTGGCTGACTCCTCAGAGGTGAGACCCCACTGCCACCAGTGCAGTGCAGATGTAAAGGGGCCGGCCCCTACAGCCACCCCACCTCCCTAGTGGGGAACCAGCTCTCCTTACCAGCTCATTAAACCCTGAAGGATCAAGATCAGAAATACCTGGAAGCCCCCTGTGGGCACAAAGAGCTATTTTCAGAAGTGAAATGACAAAGAAATGGAACGTGTTTGTCACTGACACTGTCCCTTGGCCAGCATTTCAGAGTTGATGTTGGCAGAAGCATATCGCTGCAAAAAATCTTAGTTTTGGAGTCAGGCCCACGGTGATATGAGTTCACTTCAGTTCACGCTCTCTGAACCTCAGCTTTCTCATCTATAAAATGGAACCAGTGAGTCTCACTGCCGGGGTGCTGTGAGGACTAACGGCAGTGCAGAGCAGCTCAGGTCAGAGGTCAGGATGTGTCCAAAGTCACACAGACAGAAAAGATAAAGAGCCAAAGGGGGTACACACGTGCAGCCCCTTTGTCATCAGCATCCTGATCTCAGCCCCACCTGGGCACTGGGAAGCACCAGACACCACATTAAGCCGCACGCTCAGGCTCGAGGGAGGCCCTGCAGGTGGGCCGAGCTCCCCTCAGCCTGCCCAGCCAGCCTCGCACCTTCCTCCCAGGAGATGCATCTGTGCCTCCATGGCTGGGGCCGTGAGTTGCCATCGGCACCCCCACCACACCCCAGTGCCCAGCACAGAGCCCTGCAGCACCTGAGCCCTGCAGCAGTACTGAGTAAGGACCCCCTGGCTGGCCTGAAATGGCTGGGAAATACCCCCGACCTCCAGGCACCAGGCCGTGTGAGGACAGAGGGTGTGACCTGATGCCAGGGCGCCATGTGGAGGCTGCCAGTGGCCAGAGCCCGGGGGGCTAAGGAAGGCTTCCCAGAGGGAGCCCAGCAACCACTGGCCG